GCTTTTCATTCGTTGTTAATAAAGTCGGCTGTCGGGCTCTGCAGCTGCTAATCCCTCTGTCTCACTGTGCCCCAACGGGGTGAGCGGCTCCTGCTAATCAGCTGCGGTTCCGTGGTGAGGACAAAATGATGGTCTGGGGGGGCCCAGGGATGTCCTGGCACCCACATAGGCTGCCACTCCGTGGTCTTAACGTCTCCTGACACCCTGATGGCTCTTGAGCATCTATGCAAGGGTGTGCAGAGCATCCTGGGGCCCGTGCCGCAGTGTGCCCAGCAGTGTACCAGGATATCTCAGAGTGACAGAGCCTGGAATCGACTGTGGCTGAGCAGCTGGTGTGCCCTGAGGACAAAAAAAAGCCCTTGAGAGCTGGTGTTCCGAGCAGGTCCCTGGTGCCACAGGGGCTGTCTGGGGGCGCTGAGTCCCCTGGCCAGGCAGGTCTGCCAGGTGGCACTGAGCGCCACGGGGAAGCCTGCAGCGTCGCTGGAAGGTCCCAGAGGCCCATCCTGGGGTGGTGACACAGGTCAGGACCTGGCCTCAGCTGCACGGTGCTGTAGCTCTGCTGGCCAGTGCTGCCTTCCCCTCTCCCCTTGTCCTTTAAGCAGGACCTGGAGGCGCGTGGTGCTGCACGCTGTGCTGGGGGATTTAATCACCCTCATTATCTGCACAACAGCATCATTAGGGCAAATTAAGTTCTCACTTCATTGGAGATGTTTAAAACCTCGGCATGGGGGGGACTGAGCAGGGAGGAGTGTGTGGGGTCTGTAGGGTTGTCACCTCTCAGGGATGGGACATGCCAGTGCAGGCATGGTGCCCACCACCATGTGCCACCTCCTTGTGTCCCCAGGGAGCTGGCACTGATGGGCAGGACCATGGCTGGGCCATGGGGAAGAGGAGACGGGCAACATCTGGGTACAGGGCTGTTGTGGTGGCTTTGACACCACCATGCTCTGGGCCCTTGCTTTGCCTTGCTTTGGTTTCTTTGGCAGCTGCAAGGCCAGCAAAGCTGGGGGTGCCCCTGGGGAGGATGGGGTTGTCCCCCGTGAGGACAGAGGGGGAGGTCCCTGAGAGGGCTTGGCCAGAGAAGGCTGCTTCTGGGGGGCTGTGGACCACCCCCACATCCTGACTGCAGGGTCCTGTGCCGCCTGTGGGCAGTGATTTCCCAGCTGCAGTGGGGCTCTTCCAGTGCCATTTGCACTAAAATTGCAAACTCATTATTTTAATTACGCTCAGCCTTCCTGTGCTAATGAAGTTGGGAATCTGGTAATGGGGCTTGGTGATGGGCTTCTCTGCTAATTAAGCGCATTGTTCTCGGCTGGGGCTGTGCTCAGCCCCCACTCCTTGGGATGGTGACTCTCCTTGGCACCCGTCCCTGTCATGGGGTGGGCTGGGGTGCAGCAGGGCAGCCAGGGGGTGCAGGGTTTGTGGGGTGACTGTGGGGCTCTGCCATTCCCCCAGGAGGCAAGGTGTGGGGTATTTACAGGGCATAACCCTCTTGCTTGTCTTGAGGTGTCTCATGGCGGGGAGGTGCCACCACACCACCGTGTGACCTTGCTGTGAAGGGCCACACAGATGAGGCTGGTGGCTGTGGAGCAAGGAATGTCCTTGTTTCCAGTGGGACATGTGGGCACCTCAACCTCTTGGTGGCGGATCCATCTTCTCTCATCCCTGTGGCCACTCTCAGCCCAGTCCCCTCCCTGCTAAGGGATGCTGGATCCCAGCAGAATGGACATGCCAGGGCTGAGAACTTCTCTCTGCTGTGGAGAGCAGTTCTGCTTCCTGGGGGCATGGCATCATTCACACGCTGCCGTGGTGTCAGGGGACCCTGTGCTCCTGCCAGCAGCAAATGCTCTCATTTATTAGTCGAGGGGCTGGGATAAATCAGAGCTGCTCCAGCCTAGCACCTGCCCTCGGGTGGTGGGGACCAGCCACCTCTTGCTTGGGGACATGCTGGTCCTGTGTGTGTGCCTGTCTGTCCCAGCGTTTTCAGCACCTAAGCTCATCCCCTGGTTGTTGTCACCTCCATCCTGCACTGCCCAGGGGTGAGTAGGGTTGGGAAGGTCTGGGGGTCCCAGTGGCTTTGACTGGGACCTGCCCCACCCAGGTGTGTATCCTGCCACTGCTGAGCATGGCACTCTATAAATGGGATTTTGGGAACCATCTGTTTAAAGGAGGAAATAATGAATTAGGGGGAGATGAGAAAAATGCTGGGGCCGGGCAGTTTTTCAGAATGAGCTGGGGTTTGCGGGACGTAAAAGATGAATAACCTCCCCATGTGTTCAATATTCATGAGCTCCCAGCTGTAGTGAGCTGCTCAGCCCTGGGTGAGGACAGCCCTGTCACTGTGTCCTCCCTGCTGGCACACTGCTGGGACCTCTCCATGGCTGTGACGAGCTGCGGGGACACGGAACCCCCAGAAGGATGCTCCTGTGGCTTCCCCTTGCCTGCATCCTGGTCTGGTCCGGTTGGTGAGCGGCTCCCCAGCCCGTATCGGAGGCAGGTGGCTGTTAATTGATGTTTCCTTCCTCTGTAGTTTGATGAAAGGCTCTGGCGACACCAAACTGATTAAAACATCAAGGGGAGGCCCCGTGCTTGCCTTTGATTTGTCTCAGGAGATGATTGCTGCTCTACTTGACCATCCAGGCTGGCCAGCGATGGTGACTCTAGTGCGTGCTGTCCTGGCACCCCTGCGCCTCTCCTGCCATCAGCCCTGGGCTGCCAGCACCCTTCCAGCCTCAATGGCAGCACCTTTGGGTTCCCTCCTCACTGGGCATTGTCCCATGGTCTCTCTGTTCCTTGCCTGGCTGTAGCTCTGCTCCCAGCAGCTGCAGAGGGATGGTTCCCAGGGCTGAGCTCAGCCCCCTCTCCACTTGCCCACGGGCTGGTGGCCACGTGCCACTGTCATCTGCAGCCCCACACCTTGGGCAGGGGCCATGGGCACCTCCACCAGCCTCTGCCCTCCTCCCTCTGCAGTTGCTATTTCACTTTCTTGCTCTTCACCCCCAGGGACTTTCTCTGGGGTTTGGGCCAATTTGCAAACATTTTAATCCATAAAAAATTAAGCGGCGCTGGCTGCCGCTCTGAGTCAGACCTCCCCGTCCTGAATCTTAAGGAGCTGAATAATTTTCCACTTTTGCTGAGATGTGTGGAGTCTGATTCATGTTCATCTCATCACCTCTCATTAGAGGAGGGGGCTGGGGGCTCAGGGGGTGGGGAAGAGCCTTCTGGAACCTTCACCAGCAGCCCCCACCCCCACGGTGTGGCCGTGCAGGCAGCGGAGGAGCCATCCTCCCATCCAGGCCATGTCGGTGGTGAGTGACTGTGGAATTGGAGTGCTGGCAGGATCTGGTCCATCCTCAACCATGTCCCACTCCTTGGAACACTGTGGGGAGATGAAGGTGCCTGGGCTGGACACAGGAAATGGGAACAGGTTTGCTCCCTGGCTGGGGATCCTCGGGCAGAGCTGCTCCCCTGTCTCTCTGGGCGCTGATGGATGGGCCGGAGCTGTTAATATTCAGCACGCTCCGCCATTTCCCCACCTTCTGCCATCTGCCCAGCTCTGCCCACCATTTCTATTCTTGCCACCGACGTAACACTCCCTGCCTGGCGCTCGGGGGGCTGCGTGTGGGACCCTGGCCCCCAGCCAGTGCCGGGTGCTAGCAGGGGGTGTCACTCTGCCAGGGTGCCCATCTCCCCCAGCCCCTTCGCCCCAGCCCCGTGCCAGCAGCAGGGGGGACCCCACTGGCACTGAGCTACAGCCACGGGTGCAACCTCAGTGTGAATGAGGAATTAGCATCTGGTTTAAGCAGCCCCTCCAGGCGCGGGGCTTTGTCATCCTGATACCTGCTTTTCCTCCATAAACTACCATGGCAGCTCCCTGGGAAGGCAACCAAGCTGATAATCCCCCCAAACGGTGCAATAAAATACCTCACAAAGGTGATGCCTTTAAATCCTGCCACAGCTTTGGTGCCTGGTTGCTGGTGTGTTCCTCTGGGCTGGCTGGTGGGTGCCAGGTGGGCCTGGGAGGGAGTGCTGGGATGTGGGAGCGCTCGGGGTGGGGGACGGTGTCAGCATGGGCTCCATGTTTTCCCTCGCCAAATGCCACTTAAGCACCAGCTGCTCCTGGAGCACACCCAGCTTGGCCACACGGGCACCCGTGGGTGACACAGCCAGGAGCAAACCGGGGTGCATTGGCTCACATGGTGCCCGGGCACAGGTGGCTCAGCCAGCCTGGCTGGCACTGCTGGGGATGCCACAGGGGCTGCTCTGCCCATCCCAGTGGCTCCCAGCTGGCAGGAGTGGTGACACCACGCTGCGCCGGGTCTCCCTCTGCTCCTCTCCCTGCTGGAGCATTAGGAAGCTGGCAGCATATTGTTTGATGAGCAGATAATCCGCTGAATTGCAAACAGCTTTACCCAATTGAAGAGGCGGATTACCGCTCTCCAGCTTCATCATCTTGACATCTCAGAGAGTAGCCAGTGCTCTTCCCCTTTGGCACGTGGCGAGGGGCTGGATGGCAGTGTGAGGACCCCCGCTGTGGCAGGCCACGGGGCTGGGGGCAGGAGGTGACAGCAGCCAGCCCTGACCCTCACTGTTGTGCCTCCCCACAGGTTCACGGACGCGGAGGCAGTGGTGATGGGTGACGTGACCTACGGCGCGTGCTGCGTGGACGACTACACAGCCCGGGCCCTGGGCGCTGACTTCTTGGTGCACTATGGACACAGCTGCCTGAGTAGGTGACACTTGGCCCCAGGGCACTGCTGAGGTGGCCGTGCCTGGCACCTCGGAGGCTGCACCACTGCCACTGTGCTGTGGTGAAGCAGCTCCTCGCCCTGCTCCGTGCCAGCTCTGAGACACTGCCAAGGGCTTATCCCTTCCCAAAGGAATTTCTGCTCTCCAGGCATGGTCGCTGACTTTAGACAGGGCCAGGCGGGCTGGGCAGCTGCCCACAGGCAGGATTTTGGGGGCAGCAGGGCGGGCTCATCCTGCTTGGCCACGCACCCACTGTGCTGTGGTGAAGCAGCTCCTCGCCCTGCTCCGTGCCAGCTCTGAGACACTGCCAAGGGCTTATCCCTTCCCAAAGGAATTTCTGCTCTCCAGGCATGGTCGCTGACTTTAGACAGGGCCAGGCGGGCTGGGCAGCTGCCCACAGGCAGGATTTTGGGGGCAGCAGGGCGGGCTCATCCTGCTTGGCCACGCACCGCCCTGTGCCTGAGAGCAGAGCGGTGGAGCCGTGGCTTGGCAGGCCCCCAGGAGCCACCGATGGGGAGGGGGCTGCTCTCTCCCCCCACCCTGCAGTTTTTTGGGGGTAGTAAAGAGGGACAGTGGAGAGGAACGACAACCTGGGAGGTCCTGCTCACCCTGAGGAAAGCGGCTTTGTGGGAGCAGTTCAGGCTGGGCGGGGAAGGGAGGAGGAGGCTTCGTGCTCCCCAGGCGGACGGTACTCTGGATCCAGTTGCCATGGAAACTGTGCTGCTGTCCCAGATGCTGCTAACTTTGAAGTCCACCCAGGATGGAATCAGCCCAAAAATAACAATAAGACGCTCTGGGTTTTTAAGGTGGATCTGCAGAATTGCCGTAGCGAGCGGCAGGTGCCTGTGTCCCCGCTGCTGCCGTGCTCCTGGCACCCTCCAGCCTGCCTGGAGGTTTATGGGGCTGTAAAAATGGGTTTGAGGAATTGTGTCGGGCTCCGTGTGAAATACTGACTCCCCGCTTGAGAACTGTGTCCTGAAAGCCACGTCGGCCTGAGTGTTCGTGGTGATAAATATCTGCACGAGGTGCTTTGTTACAGAAGGAGGGTTACAGGCACCACTGAACAGGGAATATAAAACCCCTGGTTTGTAGCCTGCTATGAAAGGAATGAACAGAGCCACCTCTGGGGAGGGGGCTGCTCTCTCCCCCCACCCTGCAGTTTTTTGGGGGTAGTAAAGAGGGACAGTGGAGAGGAACGACAACCTGGGAGGTCCTGCTCACCCTGAGGAAAGCGGCTTTGTGGGAGCAGTTCAGGCTGGGCGGGGAAGGGAGGAGGAGGCTTCGTGCTCCCCAGGCGGACGGTACTCTGGATCCAGTTGCCATGGAAACTGTGCTGCTGTCCCAGATGCTGCTAACTTTGAAGTCCACCCAGGATGGAATCAGCCCAAAAATAACAATAAGACGCTCTGGGTTTTTAAGGTGGATCTGCAGAATTGCCGTAGCGAGCGGCAGGTGCCTGTGTCCCC